ACATATCTATCAATCAACACTATTTTTTTGTAAAATTGATCTTATTAAAAAAGCTAAAGGAAAAAAGTTAAACAGAGTTACAACATGGACACCTTAGGTAGCCTCTTTTTTTAATTAAATTAATTTAATAAAAAATTTTAAAATAAAAAAATTAAAATTAAAAAGTGCATTTATTAAATTAAGGTATTAAATAATGATCTTATTAATATAATACACACACACACACACACACACATATATATATATAATGACATAGTAAAAAGAAAGTTATATCAAGGATTTAAATAAAGGACAAAGGAAGGAACAAAAATAAAATACCAATGTGATGACAAACTTAGGTAATATTTTTTTAATTAACAAATAAAAATATATATTAAATCAATAATATTAAACAAAACCCTCTGTTTAGAAATTTTAAAATATTTTAAAAATTTTATTAAATATTAAAGATATTTGAAAAAAAAAGGAAAAAGGAAGCAAATTATTGGATACATGATATACACTTAGCATCAAGGGACAAAAATTCATTAAAATATTTATTAAATATAAAAATAAGAAATAATAGATAAGAGAAAACGGAACAAAAGAAGCAAACACAAATAGACACTTGGTATCAAGTAGGTCCCTAAGAAAATTAAATCTAAAAAAAGAACAAAAACAGATGTGATGTTAATATATTCTTTAATATCTTTTTTACAAAAAGTAAATGAAAACATAAAAAAAATTTTTTAATAATAATATAAAATGAATCTTATATTTTTTTAAAAAATTTTCAATTTTATTATTAAATAAACAAATAAAAAATAAATAGAAAAATTATTAAAAAGCAAAAGAAAAAAAAGAATGAAATAACTTAACATGTGATGTGTCTTTGAAATCAAGTTAGTTATAAAAATTAAATCTAAAAAGTTGTTTATTAAATATATAAAAAATAAAAAAGATAAAAGGTTAAAAACAAAAAAAAAAACACGCGGTGTACTTTTGATATCAAAAAGGTAAAAAATATTTTAAAAAATTATTGAATCTTATTGAGAAAAAAAAGGAAAAAAAGAAAATGGATAAAATTTGATATCAAGTTAGTTAAAAAAAATACTTAAGAGACATTTAAAAAAATTAAAAATAAGTCAAAGAAAAAAAAATTAAACGAAAAGAATTAAAGAAGAATGTCGCACTGAAAAAAGGAGTATAATAAAATAAATACAAAAAATTAAACACTAAAAAATAAAAATTTGTTGAAGTGGGTCTAAAAAAAAATACAAGTCCCATATTTAAAACTAAAAAGGTGGGCCTTAAGAAAAAGGAATTTTGAAAGTGGGTCTAACATTTTAAAAAAAGTTACTAAGAAAAATAAAAAGATTACACATGTTAAACTTTAAAAAATAATTTAGATGACACACGGCACACGGTGAATATTCATACATATATGCAATTAATTTATAAGTTACTCGAACACATGGATGAATTAAATTTTAGTTATCTGTAAATAAAGTTTTTATAATAGATTTTTTTTAAAAATATGAGTTCCACGATTGAAAGTAAAAAAATTATAAAAAAAAAAAACCAGTTGGGAAAATATAAACCAAGATGTGGATTCCACACCAAAAAAAAAAGAATATTAGCTCTATACCCTTTAAATTTTTTTAAAAAATAAAAAAGCACATGGAACCCAAAAATAAAAAGAATAAAAGGCAAAAAAAAGAGATAAAAATAATGAGTCCATCACCAAGAAAAATTTTTCTAGAAAGGAATATGAGCCTGGTACCTTTTAAAAATTAAAAAAATAAAATAAAATAGATGGTCCTACTAATTAAAAATACAAAACCAACACATGGGTTCCACACCAAATAATTAATTAAAAAAAGTGTGGGTCCTATCTCTTTTAAACAATTTAGAAAAAAAAATAGATGGGCCTAAAAAAACCTAAGGGGCTCTTGGTAACCCTCTATGCAATTATGCAACATTTATATATAAGACAAAAAATATATATATATATATATATAAAACATAACAAGTAAATTGATCAAAGATCTTATAAAGGTAAAAAAATAGGTCTCACCATGAAAAAATAGTAGGTCCAAGAAAAAAAATTATGATATTATATATTTTAAAAAATTTTAAAAAATAAAATATTAAAAAGGTCAAGAAAAAATAAATAGAAAAAATGGGTCTTACTACTGACATACTTGAAAGTAATAAAATTAATTTAATAATATTATATATTTAAAAAATTTAAAAATATATATATATAAAATAAAAAGATTCAAAAAAGTAGAAAAATCGAAAATAAAATGAGTCCCACAAAAAGATAAAAGGCTATACTTGGAAGTAATAAAATTAATTAAATAAAATAATATATTTAAAAAATTTTAAAATATAAATAAAAAAACAAAAAAGTAACCAAAACAAGTTAGGGGCTTACTTAAGAAAAATAAAATTAATTTAATTATAAACATGAAAAATAAAAGAAAAAAGGCAAAATCAGGGAAAAATGGGTCGCACAAAAAAAAAGTGAGGGACCCCCACTTAAAAAATTATGCTAATAATAAAAGATATAAAAATTAAAAAACAAAAAATTAAAAAAAATGAGGTGACATATGGCAGCATAGTACCACCATACATGTGCCAATTTTATATGTAGGATTAGGAGGCTTAAGAGTTGTAATTCCTAATATACAATGTAAATTACATGTATAGTCACTCAATTCTAAGTATTTTTTTATTAAGGCCATCTAATTATAAAAAATTATAATTTGATCACTAAAATTTATAAAATTATTTTTTGTCACTTTGTTGGCATTGCAATATCATTTGACATGGCATATGACATTAACGAGGTGACATTATAAATTTTAAAAAAATAAAAATTAAGCAAAAAAATTTTACATTCTTGGTCATAGTTTTATTTTAAGTTTTTACTTTGGTCATCAAACATTGTGGTCATCTAATTTTTTTTTTTTTGAGAATTTTTCCTCAAACATTAAAAATTTCACAATTTAATCACGAACGTTTGTGAAATTTATTAATATTATAGTCTTCATCGACAATTTCTCATTATTGATGCAGCTTTATAATAATTTAATCACCAACATAAATTTAATATAATAAATTTTTTATTATTTTGTTGTCTACATTGAAATATCTTATAATAATATTCAAATAAGTTCTCAAAATTTATAAAAAATAGAAATAAACATTTGACATTTTTATTGTATGAAATTAAAAGTATAAACTTTTATTTTATTGTAAGTAATTATACTCTTTAAATTTAAAAAAATGAATGAATAAATTTAATTTCTAAAATTATAAAAATAGCATTATTTCAATTATTTTTTCATCCAACTCATCTAAATAAATCAAGTACTTTCTATAAATACATCAATCATCCAAGAATATTTAAACGAATTATAAAATATTTCATACCATAGGGGGCATTTGATTTTTGTGAATTTTTAGATTTTGAGTGAAAAAGTGATTATGGAGAAAGTGATCTTAAAGAGGAATGTGTGATTCTTATGTTTTATTGACCTATAAAACGTAAGATTTTTGTGTTTGGTTTAGAGAAATATAAGATTATCTAATAAAATTTTTTGTTATATTATCTTTAATAATATTTAAATAATATGTGACATACGAATAATACATTCATAACACATGACACATGAATAACAGCGTTATCTTCAAATTTGTAAACTAAAAAATTTTGAAAAATAATTTTTTTCATATTTTTAACAAAAACCACGTTTTTCATCTTAAAAACGTCATTTTTTTGTTAAATTATGAAAAATAAGTTTTTTCTTTTTTACAACAAAGACCGTGTTTTTTTTATTTTAGAAATATCATTTTTGTTAAATTTTGAAAAATAAATTTTTACATATTTTCAATAAAGATTATATTTTTAATCATAAAAATATTGTAATTCTCAAAACTAAAACCAAAATATAAAATTATTACATTTCTAAAATAAATAATATTACCTATGTAGTCTGAAATACGATTAAGTGAGGGCAAATGGAAAAACAATTTCACTTTTTCTTTAGAATCTAAAAAACTAACGGAGATAAAAGTTTTTTATTCCCTTTACTTTCCCTCTTTTTGACATGTTGGAAATTTTAGAAAACCACATGAGTTACATTCCATGAACCAAATTAAAAAATTAAATTACAAAAAAAATAAAATTCTGATCATAAATCCTTCTTTAATACCCTCAAGGTTTTAATTAAAGTGAAAGTTGTAGTCTTAATTTTATATAATAAAATATAAAAAATATAATTAACAAAATAATAAAATAATTTGTTGTATTAATTTTAACAAATAATGATAATTAAATCATTATAAACTTACGTAAACACAGAAAACATTAATAATGAATACCAAAATATTAATAATTTCACAAATACTATTGACCAAATTTTGAAAATTTGAAATTTGAGTGATCAAATTTAAAAAAGTGACCAAAATATAGTTTGCGTATTTTCTTAAATTTCCACAATTATTTTTTTCAAATTTGCATGCCCTGATTTCAATTTACCCTAAATTAATCGGTACCACAAAAGAAAAATATAAATGGAACTGTTTCTTAAATAGGTTGGTTCATCTTTCAATAATAATAACAATAATAATAATGTTGACCTTGCAGCGGATTAGGGTCCCAGATATCGAGTCTGCTTCATGGTTAGCATCCGTCAACCACTTCCTATACGATGTTAGGTTTAACCACCACCGCCATCACCACCACAAATTTAATTCCCATTCTGTCCCCAGTCGTTTTCTTACCTCACCATTTGCCATCAATGCCATAGGGTCATTTTGTTAGTTAGTAACATATTTTTTTCTAATTTTTTGTTTTATATATAACTAAAATAATAAGTGAAATCAACAATTATAAACATCTCTGTGTTAAAAACAAAACAAATTTCAAACAAGGTGATCAAATAAAAAAAAAATTAAAGCATCCCATATAACAACACATATTAGTCTCCCCCTCCTTTCCCTCTAAAGCTATGGATTCCCCATCAACTCAAAGTGGCCGTGACCAAATGGCACCAAAAGAATGTGACACAATAATCCCGGTAACCAAATATCTTTTGCCTTCGTTTTCTTCGTCTTCATCACTTTCATCATCATCATCTCCACTTGGATCTTCGTATTTTCCCAATGATTCGGCTCTCAGTCCAGCTACTCCACTCCGGTTTTCGGGTGTACCATTTTCTTGGGAACATTTTCCAGGGATTCCGAAGAAACTACAAAATCACAAGAAAAAGGAGTCGATGAAGTTGCTGCCATTGCCTCCCCCGGTTACATCACCAACCTCGAAAAGGTACAATTTCGAAGATATGTTGTTAACCCGGAAGAAAGCAACCGCTGCTACTGAGAGTTTCCGAAGGGATCCATTTTTTGCGGCATTGGTTAAATGTTCCAAGGACGATCATCAAGAAACTGCCTGCAATTTATGGACTGGAGCAAAGGTCACAAGAAGTAGCGGTGACAAATTGGGGTTTATTAATCTCTACACTTCTTGTAAAAGGACTTGTCCAGTTTCAGAATCAATAGTCTATCTTCCAAGGTCTAGCAGAAGCACTGCTAATTATGGCCTAATCAATAATCGCTATAGTTAAATGTAAGTTACACCGATCGATTATCACATACTGGGATTGTGATCATGCTGTTAAAAAAGAAAACTTACATTTCTTTCTTAGTTATTCCTTTCTCCTTTTGTTTTTCTTCTACTTTCTTTGCAGGGATCGATGTCATCAAGACTGAAAGTCATTTGTAATATAAAATGAATAGAAAGCTGAAATTTGCCTTTTAATGAATGAATTGCCCCTTTTGATCATGAGTTACTAGAAATATTCATATAATAATTTCATTGGTTTGCAGTATTTCATGTGATGTTTTATGAGAATATAAGTTTACTCCATGTGGGAGCCAAACTCCATTGGACCACCATAGAAAATGACAGATCTTCACGAAATTTAACTCTTTCTAAATACTACGTTTTTTGTTTCTTTTCTTTTGGTTCTTGGTGGCATTATTTTCTGTGAATAATTGCATTTTCCAAAATTGACGTCTGTTTCTGTATTCGAATGGAGCCATTTCAGGTTGTTGATCTACCAGGTTTCACTAACTTCTTTACTACTGCATGCCGCTACTATTATAATTTGTACTCTGCTAGTTTTCAATGTTGCGGATGTTACTCTAAAGCTAATAATTCAGAGCATTTGAAGCTCAATAATTGGCTTCATTCTATTTTAATTTATGAGAAAATATTCTAACCCATTTCTTTAAATAAAAATTCAAATTCATTGTTTTGAAGATGGATACATGCACTTACTACTGATCCAAATGCTGGGATGCCAACAACTGTAATTTGCTTTTGTTTCTTTCGGTTTTCCTTTCGCTAATTTCCCTTTCTCCTTTCTAATTGAAGACATAATTATCATATAAATTTGAATAATTTTCAATATTATTATATTAGATTAGGTTTGAATACTTGTAAAATTTAGGTTTAAGTCCTATTGCCAACAACTCTCTTAGTGGACGATTGTAAATCCGATGTAAGTCTTCTCAGAAACATGCGATCTATCTCGACTCTAAAACAAGAAAACCTCCCCTTACTTTATATTTTTTATAACAAAATTTAAAATTTTTGTAGTATTTTGTCCCAATTCTCATTAAAAAAAAGTTTGATATTTAAATTTATGTCTCACTGTGGATGAAAATTATGTCAATTCTTTTTTGGTGTAAAAGAAAAAGAAAAGCACTATGATTGAACCAAAAATATTTATCCAAACTTTAACTCTAAAGGGGCGTTTGATTTATAGAATCGTAGATTTTGAGAAAAAATGTGATCTTTGAAAAAGTGCGATTTTTGCGATTTTTTTTCATTTTTAGGGCATCTCGTGTTTAGGTTCATTCATTTGATTGGGAGGAATTTACATATATTAAATTTTGAATAATTACTATAATCTCCTTGGCATATATGATGGTAACTTAAATGACCCAATTCAATTAATTGAATGGGGTTATTCAAAGTGATATATAGTAAAAAATGCATTGAATAATCCCTTACAAAAATTGAAAAAGATTATTTAAGGTATTTTTAGTCTAAAACACCTTGAATAATCCTCTTTAATTTTTTTTAGAGATTATTCTAGATTTTTTTGCCAGAAAATGCCTTAAATAATCCCCTAATAAAAATTGAAGGGGATTATTCAAGATGTTTTTAGCCAAAAATGCATTGAATAATCCCTTACAAAAAATTAAATGGGATTATTCAAGGCGTTTTTGGCTGAAAAATGCCTTAAATAACATTTTTTATAATATCAGGAATCATTTAAGGCCTTTTTTTTGGCAAAATGCCTTTAGTGATCATTTTTAAAATTCATTCCTTTTTTTTGAACTTTGGAAACCCAAACGGCTAATACAGTGAATAATAAAAAACTACATTGCAACTAACCCTTAAACCATCAACCCATTTAGTTTGTCTTTTGGTTTCTTTAACTCTTTCATCGCCATTGACCATCAATAAGTCTACACCATCCCACCTCTCTTTTTACTAGTATGTACGTATTTTATATGTTTTTTGTATTATTTATATTCTTCAATATAGTTTTTTTTTTTTTCATTCTTTACTATATATATAAATTTTTTTTTGTGTTTTTAATCATTCCATCATCACCTTAGTTGCCCAACCTCCCTTCATTATATATATGGTGTTTCTTTGTAGTTTGGTTTAAGTATTGTGGTTTGCTGAATGATATTGTGGAAATTATGCATTTTTGTACTAATAAATTGTTTTGCGTAGAACTCTTATTTAAGGTAGGAATCATAGTATGGCTTGTATCCGTAAAATATTATTGGTTTGAGAATGTTTTAATATATTGGTCTAGTAACTGTAGTATGATATTAGTTGTATTTTATTAATGTGTGAAATTTAGAGAGACAATTTGGTGTATTAGTATAATTATGATAAAAATTGTAGCTATTATGAAATCCAAATAACATATGTTTGCTGCTACTAAACATGAAGAATACACACCTGTAGTGACAAAAAGAAAAGCAAGGGGATGAAATAAACAAATTAAAGCGACTAACGTGAAAATTCATGTCCATTTCAATCAAAATGGTCAACCTGTGTCTAATAGAGCTACCAAGTTAGCTAGTCACATTGGATAGGTCATCTGCAGTAGCACTTATATTACGTACCATAATTAGCAACGAGTTCTTGGTGATCTAAAAGATTGTATATGGGAGTCGATTGTGGTATATTTATTCAACTATTTCATAAAATTTGATAAATGATCATTTAATTGAAATGCAATGTGTTCATACTAATTGTTTTAAATTTATTAGAAATGGTTTGATGTCTCAAATGAGTATAAAAAACTTGTATTGCAATCAGCTAGGAAAGCCTTTAGAGACTTTAAAAGTAGATTGACAACCTAATATATTTTATCATTCATTGATAATAGTGATTTATTGGTTGATCCTCCTTCGTCATATGTACATGTTATCAATTATCAAGATTGGATGCATTTTGTTCAAGATCGGCTATCAAAATAATTCTCGATATGCATACCCATTATGTTAATTGTTTATAAGATTTTATGTAATATATTGATATCTTAATATGTGATTTACCTTATTTTTTTCTTTTCTAGAAAATCGAAGAACAACAAAAGAACATTCGAGCCAAACAAGTATATCACCGTCAGATATCGAGAAAGGGTTATGCAAATGTCAAGTATGATCTTGTAAGTATTCACACATTTGTTTTATACTCATAAATGAATATTTATGAACATTCATTTAATAAATTCTTATTCTTATATAGCGTAAATTTATTAGGAATCATTTAACCCTGGCATTAAAGCTTATAGATGAGATGTGTGGAAATAAGGACATATGCAGAAGGATGGATTTGCAGACAAAGTAACCGAAGGAATGGCTGAAAAGATTATATATATAATTGCTCATTTTATCACGTATGTTTGGCTTGTGCTTGTATGCATGACTATATACTTGTATAACTTTGTTGTTATGCCCTATCTTATTATTGTCTTTCAAGATGATTTTACTACTAAATTTAATTCAGTGAATTGTCAATTGGTTATGGTGAAGATCCATTGTCTTTAGCATTAGAAGCGAAAGAAAGACATGGTCAAGTTTATGGGGTTGGTAGATTTGTGTTCCCATCAAAATTCTTCAGTAATCAACCTAAAACCTCTCTAATAATGAATGCACTACATAAAGCAATCATTTAGCAATAACAGTAAAGACTTGATGAGCAAGAGCAATACCTAAATGATCAACAGCAATAACTCACAGTTTTAGAGGCAATGTTGGCAGCAATGCACATTATCATGCTTAGAGGGTAGTCGATTACCAACATCCAACAAGGACAAGCTTTCACGTTACAAGTCAACTAGCAAACCCAACCTCCAGTATCACCTATGGAGTATGATTTTGTTTATTCAATTAATATTTATTTATATATTATATTTATTGATTTGGTTTTAATATTTATATTTCATTATATATTGTAGTAGGATGTTGGGACTTAAAAGATGACCCTTGCTGAGGCTGCCATTGATGCATTATCTAATTATGCACTTGATTATTAATCTAGAGGAAATGTCATTACCGTTGAGTCTGAAGATGGGTTATTTGATCATCCATCAATTTCTTACATTGGAAGGCTTGAGATTAAGGCATTTTGTACCTTTGAAATGCCACCCTGGATGAAATATCAACTTCTAATATAGTTGCCTATATGAGGTCAGCTTATAAATTCAAATATGCAAATTCAATATCTATTAATCTATATTAGGGTGTATTGCTAACTAGTACTATTGATTGTTATCGTGCAGCTTCCTATGTAAATAGATCAAGACAAGACAAATAACCCATAGATTCAGATTCGTTGACCTGAATGTGATTAGTGAAGAGAATGGCACTATCATTATTCATGGTCATCGTGTGGGTCAATGCATGCAAAGCAAGCTGATTATATTTTGGTACTGTATAATGCTGCATAAGTTATATTCATACAACTAATTATTCTAACTTTGATGTCATCTAAGATGATGCCTAATCTTTGTATATCATTCCTATTATTTTGCAATTGTCATTGTTAACTTGTTGTGATTGATAACAATTCCTTTATGCCATACTTATTTAACTCCGCCCAACCAATGATGAAGCCTAACCCCAATATTCATAATTTATTAAAAAAGTATTACATGTTATTAGGTTATCTTGTGTTTTTTATAATTACTTTTAATTTTGAATTGACTACTTTTTTTTTGTTCAATTTAGGGGAACGTCTGCAATTGATAAGAAAGCAAAGATAAATTGGGATGTAATTATCAGTAAATGTGAAATTTATTCTTTTATGCTGAGTTTATTTAGATTAATATTTCTAAACCCACTAAATTTATTTTTCAGATACCTTGTTAACTAGGATTTACTGAATATGGATATTATATCCTTTGTTTTACGAGAGATATAGTTTTATATGATTTTATGACCACACCATTCAGGGTTAGTATTAATTCCATACAATAGTAATATCTTTCAATAAAAAAAGCTAAATTATGTTCTCATTTATTAACAT